TATAGGTTTCCGTTTCACATCTTATAAACACCAATATGATTTCTATGCACTGGTCTGTTGAAACCATGGGTTTACCCCAAAATTGATTGGGGGTTCTGCTGTTTTTCCAGCAGGCTTTGCCTTCAACCAATTTCGGAGAAATTGAGATGTTTACTGTACGGGTTTTCACATGCTTTCACCCGCCAAACAAAATGCATGTTTTCATACACCGGGAATTTGGACGGAATGTCAAACTCGGGCATAAGACCAAACAATTTCGGAAAGCCACGCAAAATGAGAACATAATCCATGAAACAGAATCAACAGAATGTAATACCCCGAAACAAAGACAGCTATACAATCAATAAAAATGATAAAACACATGAAAACCATATTGACTTTGGCTGGGCAATGGTCTGTTCTGAGACTTTCTACACAAAGGCATATCAAGGCTACAAAAAAGACCTCGCTTATCATCTCCGACTGGAAATCCATCTTATCAACAGAGCAGGCAGGGATTCCAACGTATTTCCAGCATCTTGTCGCTTAAATCCCCTATAATCAATGGTCATTTCAGGATCCTAAAATGGAGGTTCCTACCAGATATAAGGCCTATGTAAGGGAATATCACCACAAAATATGGCCTTATATGGTACAGTACCTCCATTTTAGGATCCTGAAATTCCCATTGATATAACGTTTCCATAAAATCTTCGTATCCGACACTTTTCCCCGGTGCAAAGGCAATCTCCGCGAGCTCCCTGGTTTTAGGGGACTCCCCAGCCACGAATTTGATTGAACACAGTGTTGCTGGCTTCAGCTGCCTTCCCGCACATTGTGGGTATCTATATTGTTGTGGCATGTCATATTATGTTGTGATATGTTGTGGTGTGGTATGGTATAATGTGCTATGGTGGTATCGTATGGTATGGTATGGTGCGCTAACGTATATTGAGTGGTGTGGTATGCATGGAGACAACGTACGTAGCGTGCGCAATGTATGTAATGTATACAATGTATCCAAAGGTATGTTTTGTATGATGCAATGTAATGCACCCAATGTACGTAATATATGCAATTTATGTGAAGTATGTACTGTAGTGTATGTACTGTATTTGATGTATATGATGCACGTAACGTATCTATATGCACAAGTATGTCCAACAAATATATATATATATACACATACACTATATACATATACATACAAATTCTGTTAAACAATCCACTGCAGTACATCAAATGTTCATGATTGTTCATGTATGTAGCACCACCATCCACCATCCTCCCACTCCGCTATAACCGCTGTCAGCTTCACCATTGGCATAAAATCCATAGCAGAAGATCTGTATGAAGGACCCGGGGACAAACCCCAGTTGTAGGTCCAGCTGACCTAGCAGAAACATGCTGTGTTTTGTGGATTGAATAGTCACCATTGATAGTTACTGTCGTATTATGTTTATCATCATTATTGCCCATTACCAATCACCATTAACTAATTATAGGGGTTGAAGTCTCCTGCTGCAAACATTATTTTAGTTCACCCTGTGATGGTCACAAACCAGAAAAACATGTATGCGTGGAAGGTTCTATTTGACTATTTTAATAGCAAATGAATGCTATTACAGATGATATTATTTCCCCAAATTGCGACATATCTTCTGGTCATTACTTCATTATCAATAAAACAGATCTAGAATAATCTAGATATTTATTCTACTGTTCTCTAATATTCGACCTCTTATTTCCAAAATTCAAACACTGTGGTATACCTAATGCTAAACCATCCCCAATTTTTTTGATATAAACTATCCTCAGATGGTAGGTTTATCGCATTGGGTGTCCTACATTATTCAAAATACATAAATTTCTCCGAAAATAAGGTACCTCAATATCGAAAGGTTTACAGTATATTTATATACGTATGTCTAGTCTTATCATTTAAAAGGGCTAGGGCTATTTTTGGGGGAATGTGACTAAAGCAATCATGAACCATCCCCAAATTTACGGTAAATGGATGGTAAACACCATCAAAATAGAGATAATTTACCGTATTATTGCCTTACTGATATTAAAGAAATTTCCATGGCTACTGTTCCATCAATATTCCAATATATTCCATCAGTATGTGTTCCATCGATACGTCGATATCCCATTAAATTCCCAATACATCAGCAATGAAACCATGCAATTCCCATGTTCTTCCCATGTAAACTGTTGGTTGGAATCCCGCCCATGAAAATTGTACGGTGCAACCTTGACGTTGCTCCGCGCCGGAATTGCGGAAGGGTTGCATATTTCTGAAATGCCATGTCGGTGGACTTTCAATATGTAGATGTACATGTGATCCATGACAATCATCATCATTATCATCATCATCATCATCATCCCTTATGAAGATAAGTTGATGCTATTGCAGTACCAGATTCAGCATATTTGCCACAGGAAGTGGAGGATTGTTTGATCTCTTATGAAGATATGTTGTTGATGCTGTTTTCAGAATCGGCCTATTTGTCAAAGGGGGTGGTGGATTTTTGGTCCCTTATGAAGATATTGATGTAATTCCTCATTCAACATATTTGTCAGAGGGGTAGAGGATGTTGATCTCTTATCAGGTTAAGTAGGTGTGATTACCCCATGTTACATATTTTTTTAAAGGGGATAATGGATGTTCGATCCCTTATGATGATGTGTTGATGTGACTACCCCATTCAACGTATTTGTCAAGAGGGGGTGGTGGATGTTTGATCCCTTATGAAGATAAGTTGATGTGATTACACCATTCAACGTCTTTGTCAAAGGAAGTGGCGGATTTATGATCCCTTTTGAATACAAGACATAAAAGTTGATTATATCTATTCACATCAACCAATTCCACATGAGTTGACACTGATGATGACGATGATGATGACGATGATAATGATAATGATGATGATGATTGTAAGTGTGGAGCAGCGTCCGGGTTGAACGGAAATTCGGTTGTAAAATTGGGGATGGTTAATGACATCGCTTTACTAACATTACCCTACAATAGCCCTTTGGCATGGGAACATGATAAAATATGAAAATGTACTGTTAAGCCATTGGGTTGAGATAGAATTGCTGATGCTTTACTATTGCTTTTCTTACAATACCCATAGGATCCAAGGCATCCAAGGCATCCAATAAGGGCATCCAAGGCGCCGAGGGCGACAACGCCTGAAGCTCCTGGATACCCGTCCCGGTGCGGGCGAAGCCGCGCTTGCTACCTGAAAGGCCGCCGTACCCGCAGAACGCAAGGAGAACGAAATCGTGAAGTGGGCACTTCAGGAAACCACTCGCCACTGCACACACACACATACATATATATATATATAGAGTTTTCATTTCTAGGTATTTATATATATATATATATATGCGTGTATATGTTAGGCAGTTGCCCCATCACGTTTTCTTTGCAGCCCTTTAGGGGTTTTGTGTTCTGTAAAAAGGGGTCCCATGTTCTGTAAAGAGGGTTCCTGTGTTCTGTAAAAAAAGGTTCCGGTGCTCTGTAAAAAGGGTTCCTGTGTTCTGTAATTCCTGTGTTCTGTAAAAAGGGGTTCCGGTGTTCTGTAAAAAGGGTTCTGGTGTTCCGAAGAAGGGGATCTCCTGTTCTGTAAAAAGGGTTCCCGTGTTCTGCAAGAATGGGTTTTGTTATCTTACGTGTTCTGCCGTTTTTTTTTCAGTACGCATGTCCTTTTTCAATGTTTTTATACAATACACACGTAGGTTTTTGACAGTACAAATGTGGAATTTTACAAAGCAAAACCATATAAGAAAACAATATAGACCTTTTGCAAATTGCTTTTTTCAGAACAGGTGTAAGTTTTCTACAGAATTTACAGAACATCTGGATACATCTGGTGTTTTTTGACAGAACATTTGCAGAACACCTACGGACTTTTGCGCACATATTCCACTAATCATCAGTGGAATTTCACAGGGAAACCTGTGTGAATATAGTTTTTTTTTGTGTACCCCATTCCAAACTTGAAACTGTTTAAGCATGATCATTGATCACCCCGCCTCCACTAACACCTACGGATATTTTTACAGAAGATGTGTGGGTTTTGGACAGAAAATGCGTGGAATTTGCAAGCTACTAGAACATTTGTTTTGTAAAACTCCGTCCAGGTACTCTGTAGAAAATGTACGAGTGTTCTGTAAAGAACCCACAGGTCTTCTGTAAAAAATCCACAGGTGTTCTCTAAACAATCCCGCAAATGTTCCGTAAATGTGCTGCCAAAGATGTCCTGTAAAAAACACAGATGTTCTGTGGACAAATCTGCATCTGTTTTTGAATGCTCGTTAAACAAAAAATCTTGCAGATTTACAGATTCTTGATTGTAACAGAACACGGGAGCAAACATAACAGAACACGAAAGCAAAAATAACAGAACACGAGACCCAACATGGCAGAACATGAGAACACAGAAAAACAGAATACGAAAGCAAACAATAACAGAACACGCGGGCAAACATAACAGAACATGAGAGCAGAGTAAAAGAACACGAGAGCAAACATAGCAGTACACGAGACAGTGCAGGATGACAAAAATAGCAGCACACAGCCGTCTAAAGAAACCTGCCAAAAACGTGTTAGAGCAACACCATAATATGAACAAATAAATAAATTATATATATATATATATTATGAAATATATGTATATTATATAAACACACACAAACACACACACATATATATATACCTTGACCCACCAAAACCATGAAAACGGAAGGTTTTTTTTTACAACCAAGATTTTTTAGGTTTGTTATTTGAAAACCCGGTTTCCAACATCTCATGGGTAGATCATGGTATATCCACCTCTTACTATCCTACCATATCCCATCTTTTCTGTCGCCGCTGCTTGGATCTACATCCTGAAAGTGCACCTGGTAGCTGCAACAGTTTCTTGATCTGAAGCTGGGACTGGCGGTCAGGGTTGCCACTATGAGAGCATATAAGAGCTAGGCCAAGTTTAGTAGTTTGATGAAAATTGAGATCAAGAATCATCAGCAATGCCTTCCGATAGTGCATTGCGCACTGCCAAAAAAGATCTCTGAATTACCCTAAGGGCCGTTGTTCTGCTAGAGACTCGTCTAGCTAATCGGCTGGGCCTACCAATGTAGTCCTCTTCTAATTGAACCCCTGTCATGATGATGTTGAGACACCATTCAGCTCTTCGAGAATCAAGCACTAGCTCCAGGAACTGGTGATGAAGATAGTGCAGTTTTGGAACTAGTGGGAACCTCTTCAAACGCCGATCAAAAGCCATTTGGGCAAGTTCAGCATAAAGCTGAAGAAACAACAAACCTTGCTTGCCGATGCGTTCAGCGTCAGCAGATCTGATGAAGAGACCCTCTCTGTAGAGATTCCCCAGGCAAAGGTTGATCGTCACTGCAGCTTCAGCCTGCAGTGGCTGCAATGGAATGATGAATGCATCAACTGCAAAAAACACGAGTTGGTAAGACCACGCGACAACCCCCAAAACATGACCATAAAACACATTAATAAAACAATAACTGGTTTCGAAACAAAAACAAATTTAACGAAAGTCCAAGAAACACACTTGAGGTAAAAATTGTCCACTGTTTTCCCAACAACTTTTCTGGAAGCATAGTTGTCGAACCATTGGCACATGACACGTGTGAAATCACCTTTGGTCCACCCACCATCAGGACAATCTTTGAAGGAATGTTCTATTCCGAGTAATGCTTTCGTGATCTTTTTGTGGTATGGGCTTTCTTTCTCTCTTTTGCAGTACTCCAGGAAATCACTTGAAATGATGCGAAGCGACTCATCTATCGAAGCATCAATCAGCTCCAAACACACCACCACTACAGATGAAGCAAAATACTTGCCAACGCCTGAATGAAAGCTGTGAAATAGGTCAAACTTCCACATACCAGTTTGATCACCAGAACGCTCATATGGTATGTTCAGCAAAGGGCTGGGTGCGCTGTAGGGTGGCGTTACGCCAATTGTACCTCTCCACATAGGTGTTTCCACCCCCAATTCCTCATAGGGTACATCAATGTGAACCCCATTGACCTGATAGTTTTCCTTACCAGCAAGACATCGATGGCAAATTCCAACAGCAGCTGTCCTGGAAGTTGGGGCACGCGGCCGCCTGGTAAATGACCTATCGAACAAGCCACTCTTTTGAACAAAAGGACTGTCACCTTTGATCCCCACACATGCAATGAAAAAACGCTGATTCTGGATAACAATGCCATCCCAAAACAGTTTTGCAAATTCATCGGCTTGTAGCTGAAGCATATGCTCGAAGGCTTCAGGTGCCTCCCCATACAAACTGATAGGCATCACACACTGCAAAAAGTGATTGCAGAATGTATTGCCAAGCATGTTGGCACGTAAGGGTCCATCAGGGTTTTCCAGTTCAGCTTGTGTTTTTCCCAAATTCGAGTGTGAATTGCCCTTGCCGAGGCAGCCGTGAGTAGACAGCACCATAAGTTGTTTCTTTTTCAATCCCCTTCCTTCATCTCCATGGTAGAGTACTGGGATACACATGCTTCTGTGGAAGTCTCGATCACCTTCAGCACGATCGCATATGACATGGTGTGGGTACAGGGCTTCAAACCGTTTCCAAAAGGTAGTGAGCACTGGGCGCATTTTCTCAACGTCACCAGTACCAACTAAGCAGTCAAGGTTGTCATACTCCACAATGTAACGCAGCCAACTTGAAAACTTCACATAGGGAAAGCTCATTTTGGTTGGCAAATCAGTTGTTGATATCTTCACATCAATCGACTGACCAAACTTCTTGAAGACAGTGTGGGTACCACTTTCGCTTCTTTTCAAATTCACCCGTTTCGACATCTTCAAACCCCTCGACTGCACTCGCGTAACACGAGCCTGGCGAATGGCATCGCTACATGCGACCTCAGTCACAAGCATACAACATGTGCACATGTTGGAAAACCCAGTGGGAAGGGATAACAAATTGGATAGCATATGGGATAATCCATGCATGTAGATTGTAATTGACAGTGGGTTGAGAAATCTAGCTGGCTACAAAACTCTACAATCCTACATGTTCGGAGAAACGTTTGGAAAATACAAACCTGATCCCAACCCCATGCATGCATGCATGCATATGAAACTCAAAACTACTTGGCAACACTTCCCCATTTTTTCTCATTTTGCTCTCAATTGGTGCCTGCACATTCCTCTTGAAGTTGCATTTGAAATTATGATAGCAAAGCGCTTTCAACGAATTGGTTTGAGGCTGTCCGCCCTGGCCCCAACAACATACACAAAATGAAATGGTTCTGAAATAGAACCAGGCGGTCCTTCACCACCATATCTCTGGTTCCTACAACCTTTCTCTGAAAGATTGTCAGAGATTAAAGCTGCCTCAAGCATTTGAATTAATCCCAAATTGGTGGAAACATGGAGTACCGACATATGAGTATAGTTGCACTCCTGGTAGTACTTGAACCTTAAAGTTGGTTTCGCAGTCATGCCCAGCTTGTAAACACACAACTGCTTACCAATCCCGTTTCGGAACTTGGTGACCAAAGAACGACACCTTTGCAGAATTGTTCCTGCACTGGCATGTTGTCTGCCACGAAAGTGCTGATAGCTAATGCATATCCCATTCTGTTGGCAATCACGCTCTAGCTCTTCCAATTTATGGCATTGATCAGGACCATTGGACTCTGGGGGGATATCTGGAACACAACCGTGATCACATGGTCGTTGAAGTTCCACCTCATTAGTGCACATGATCAACATAAAATAAATTTAGGTTTCGGGTACAACATAGATGGTGGCAAAGGAAAACTGTTGGGATTCAAATGTTTCATGGGAACAGTTACTAAACATGTCATGTATCCGCTGTACTGGCGCAGGATGCCAAAGCCGGAGATGTAGAAACAAATGAGACACTGCAGCCGTTGTCAGATAGGTGACCAGTCCTCAAGTATGTTGTTGTCCATGCATTCATGCATGAAGATTGTTTTTCTTAAGCAAAATCCACAAACCACCCAAATTGCACTTATGGGAAAAATACATCAAACAAAAACATATCACCACTGAAGCAAGATATGAAACTTGATGTTTTCCTTGTACAACGGAGGGCAGCGCTTGTTGCCACTATATGGACATGTATAAGTGAGCAGGTCTCGTAGTTCCTCTTCAAACGGGCAAGCTCTTTTTGCGCCCATGGCTACATTAGGATTGGGATTCCTACATAACTCAATCTTGGGCCCTTGTCTCCAAAATGGCTTTGCGGAAGTTAGTATAGGTTGGGTTGAATGTTGGCCAACTTCCAAAGGGTTGTCTTCCTTGAGCTGGGGCCCCAAACACCATTGCCAACCATGCGAGCGAAGCCGTGGAGTTCAGGTTCTGGCCCTGGCATGGCGGTTGGTCATGGTGAAATGGCCAAGGCAGGATGGGGTCGACTAGCTGGTAAAAGGGTAAAAGATGTGGAGTTGGATTGTTACAGCATCCTTCAATTGATACATGATTACATTGTCATAGTGTTTCATAATCATTGTTTCCATATGTTCCGGTTCATGAATCACACCAGCTGCATCCATACACTATCATTTTTCCCTTACATCGCAAGCAGCTTGCCAAAGGTTGCATCCTTCAACTCATGTTGATTTGCAGCACTTGGAGTCGATCTAGCCAAGTGGTCGAAAGCAGAACCTAATCAAAACCCGGCCAAACATGCTGTTGGCCAAACATGTGGAAATTCAACACATGTTTCTATAGTCCCAATTGACTTGTGAAACACCTATCACTCTTCCATGTCCGCAGCAGCTTCTGCATCCTTCTTCTTCTTCCTCAAGCTTTTCTCAAGCGCCCTAAGTTGGACAAAGTCAAGCATGAACAGTATATATATATGATATATGCATGCATGAATATAGATGGATCCTGATCCAACATATGCAAATTTAATATATTCATGTATGCATGCATGTATGCATGTTAGAAGTGATCCCTTGAAACAGTTCACTGTACCAGCCTCTTAATAGTTGCAAGTAAGTTTTTTGGGTTACAGCACCGCAACCTTTGCAGGCGAGATTCTTCGCCTGAACTTCGATCGATGTCAGCGCAGAAGCCCTTAGATCAGCAACATGGGTGCCACTGGTCTTGGGAATCCGTTTTAATTCAGGCCAGGCAATCAAGATGGGGAAAATAATATTGAGTGATAGTTTCAACCATTCAACACTCCATTACCTTAAATAATAAATTAGCAAATTGGTGACGTGGACTAAACAAGATTCGGGTGATTGAAATTGTTATATAATCTTGCAGTTGGAAATGGTGGATTCGAGCACTTGCAAATTGAAGGCTAGAGGCTTTTCCATGGCAGCAAACATCTTGGCCTTCACATCCCCAGCGGTCCTGAGTAAGTTGAAGTGAAGAAGTACATGTTGTATGTCAAAGTTCAAGAGCCCATGTATGCTTTATCTATCTTTATCTTGGGGTCGAAGTATGAGTCTGATCCGTATTATAAGTCTATCATAGGGTAATCCTGCAATATGAAATGCTTACGGGGCTCTCTGCATTGCGGTGTTCAAGAGCTGGTGCACTGCTGCACGCCGAGGCAAAGGAATCATAGGCAACTTGCGCAGCTGCAAGCTTGGTCTCCAAGGCGTGAATGGACCTGGGATTGGCTTAGGATATGAGCTGTTGACTTGTACAATCAGACCCAATTTACAGTAACATAAGCTAGTTTTGATCAAGTAAGTCTAGCACTTTTCAACACGAGCTTTGTCAGACCCTTCAGCAAATCCATCCAGCTTGGAAATGAGGTCCGTAATCTTCGACATTTTGGAAAGCATCCCTTCCTTGAATTTCTCCTCCACTTCAACATGCTTAGTAAACATGAATTGCAACCCAAGAGGAGGTATGATTCAATTGAACCTTCTAATAGGAAAGGGTTTCAGTACATCAACACCAGATGTTGAAATGTTATGTTATTTTCTCAGAGTTTCTCCCTCAACGGGGGTCTGGGCGTGGCCTCCCTCACCTTCCACAGATGGTAGAGTGGGCTGGAACCAATCTTCTTGTAGCTCAACTTCAGCATTTGCCTCCAATGCGTGTGGATGAAATTGTTGACATCCCAAATGATCCCAGATTTAAAAAGATTGCATTTATGCATGCAATTGACTATAGGGGTCATGACTGGTGAACTGAGATAGATGTCATGCAATTTTGTTAGTCATATCAGAACTATATTATATTATATTGCATATTATATATATATTTAATATATTTCCCAGGCCTCACCAGTGGAAGTATGTGTGTGGGCTTCCAGACGGGTCTTCTTCGTTGCTTCCTTGTCCGAATACTCCACAAAGTAGCGGTACACCTTCTTGCTGTAGAGGTCATTCCTGCTGCAGATATGCATGGCAGCCGTGACAAGGTGTGGCAACCAGGTGATGCATAAGTGGCTTTAAAGGGCACCAGTTCGGTATAGTTACCCATATTGAGATACATGGTGTATCAATTACATGGCCAATCTTAATTAAAATTGGTATCACATTGGTTCGATGATTATATATATATAATGTGCATGCATATATATATATATAATATATATATATGGATCGATCTATTCAACATGACTGCATGGTGGATCCCCGCCACCATTTGCACCAAGATTCTTCACAAGCCCGTGCTGCTTGCAGTAAGCTACAGCGTCCTTGATGTAGCTCCTGAAGTTTGGTATGTTGAAAATGCATGCATTCAATATATCGATCTGTTGGATAACATTCTCCAAGGAACTTGTATGGAAACTAGATTGGTTGAATTCCGAGCTAGATTTTGCAGTCTACAATGGCTTGCACTAGCGTGACCAACAGACCCTGCATGGGAACAACTGTTCACTCTAAACCCGGCTGATGCTGGAGTGCAGGTGGCCCATGAGACAAGACCACGGAATATAGCAACCAGAATATGAACCCTCTGGAATTGGCTAACCAACACTGCTGAGAACAACTATGAACTTCTCAGGAATCAGCTCAAGGAAACTCGAGACATCATCAAGAAGAGCTTTGCATATGCCAAAATCAACTCTTGCATGGTGTTGCAAGGGACCCCAAATGAAGTTTACATCAATCTTCCCTACGAGTAAGGTGGCAACTGGTGGCACATCTACAACATGATTAGAGCATTGAGGGTATTTGTTTAATTCCTTAATTAATATATATATATATATGTGATATATATAAGCCCATGTAAATTAAGTTGTGGTTTCCCCAGATCCTGTAATCCTGTAATGCAGGAAAGGTTCGTTGTCCACTTCAACTCAGTCTTCATTTGTTCAGGAGTGAACCACCCTTTGAGGACTTCTTGGGTATCCTCCTTGCGCAGCTCAATCATCTTCGTCACCTTGTGGATGAAGACTTCCTGCAAATAGTCATAGGGAGCAATGCAATCAAGAATCTAATCAAGATCGAGTTATATATAATATATATATATATAGGTTGGGTCTTGCTACAGTGTTACCATCCACTGAAAAAAGGGCAGAGTAGCGAAATTCCACCCCAAAAGAAATGATTAACACACCCTTAGAATTATTGCATGTGATATCGAATCATGCATCAAGGGCTCGATAGATGCATGCATGGGTTCTAACGGGTCCTTGTCAAACTCAAACTGCTCAAGGAGCATCCTCAATTCGTCCCTCTGCTTCCCCCCAGCCATCCACTGCTCGTGGATGGCTGGGGGTACTTTGAGTTTCCCCGACCCCTTCCTCTCGCACAGACGTCTCAAACGTGCGTCCACCATCTTGTACCTTTGCAGGGCACTCTTGTGCCCTTCATCGTCGTCTTCTTCGACTTCGGCAGCTGGAGGCGCTGCAGCAGCCTGTTGATGAACGGTGAAAGCAAGATTGGGCAAAAACACCCCAACGGATTCTTAACCATTTCAAATGAACC